CGGCCAATTTAGGACGATTACGCGTAACATAATGTCGACCGCCAATTTACCCCGCCTACGCGCCCCCGGCTGCCTCTTTTTTCGAAGCTGTAGCTTGATTATAGTATACGCTAAAGGATATACCTGCACCCAGGACTCGTTCATTTACCGTGAGTGCCGACGGCATAATTGTTCCGCGTGTCAACCTCGCCGAGAGTTTAATAGCCGTCATTCCCGTGCTTTGTGCGCGCCTATACGCTCTTCTGACATCTTTCAAACATGTGTGCGTCATCGACACGCATGTAGCAGAATTTAATTGCCGAGCGTGAAAAGACAATTTATGTTAATTTCAAATTTCCAATACGTTCGAGAAAATTGGTATCGTTCGAATAAGGGAAGTGGCGCTTGATAACTCGTTGTAATATCAACTAAAAAGAAGGGGGGAAAAAAGTCAATTATTGAATAGATTTATCGTCCAACTTTTTGCTACAAATCACCGATCTTGAAGCGAAAGGAGTAGGTCGCATACAATGCACAACGAACGACGACAGCGCGAGAGATTAAATTTCACACCCGTTTTCAGTTGATGACCTGACGAATCGGTCGATCGAATCGATTATAACCAGTCGCGAGACCATTCGGAATAAAGAAGCAGCGCGGCGGAACACAATCTGTCTACCGTCTCTTTCGCCGCGCCGTAAACAGGAAACGGTATCGTCGTATCAGTCGCCGAGACGTTTTTTTTTTACCGACCACGGGTCGATCGGACTCGCGTCCCGGTCGTTTTTCTGGCCAATTTGCAACCATTAACGCTCGTTCGGAGCTCGTCCCGACCTTTTCCACACACGCTCGCACACCGCTTCCCCGAGGTCCTCTCCTTTCGCGTCGTGGCCCGCCGTCCGTATTAAGCGGCAACGATCACGCCGTGTACGCCGGCAGAGAAAACGAGTGGGCGACCGTTCGGGCGTCACAGACAATTTAACACCTGGCCTAAATGGTTTGTTAGCGCATAATATCAGCCGGTACCCGGGCGACAGGATACGGGACATTACAATATGGAAATGACGGGGGCCCCGCCACGGCCGTCCGTTCATTGGGCAGCGCACACCTCAGGCGCGGCCAATTTCTGTCACTTTAATGCGCCGGATCGGTTACACAGGTCGTTCTTTCGTATCGCACCCGGAGGTGCGTCGTCATCCTGCCCGAGGTCTCGATTTCAGCGTGGACGATAACAGCGCAACATAATACGTTGTTAACCCCGCCGTTTCGGGGCGCGCGCAGCCATATGGCAGCTTATTTAAGCGTACTTAAGTTAGAAAATTACACAAATTCTCGTGAAACCGCTTAATGATAGAATTAGCTTGCCCGAATTCAATTAGCATTGAATCTTTTTGGATGCCTAATTAGATTAATCAGATATAAGCATTTATGAGATAATCAAAAGTATCAAGATATGAATAGCAAATTGAATGTTAAATGCAAAAGAAACGAAGTAGATTCAAGTGACAAATTAAATGTTGATAGCGAAAAATGTTAATGACAATCTATTAGACAATTCCTGACAGCTTATTCTTCAACATAACAACTAATTGCTCCGTTTCCTGTGTTCTCAGAGCCGCTAACGCGCGCGAATCAGCGGCGAAAATTTCTCACCGCGGCCGTTTCAGTCGGCGGCAGGAAGGGACACCTGGAAAACAGCGAGTGCTGCTTCGTCGGCAGGGAACGCCGCCGCGGAGGAAGTGACTTCCTGCGAATCGCGAGGCGGTAGAAATTTCGCCTATTATTATCCCCCGATCGTGGCGTGACGCGGCCTTCGGAAAATACGCGCGCTCATACGTGAGAGAGGCGGGAGAGCGACGGAGACGAACCGCAAGCTGGCCTTGCGGAAAGGAACAAGGTAGAGAGAAGACGTGTCTCTCCCGCCGCTTCGCTCGTCTGATTGCACGTTGCGGACGCTCCGACGCTACGCCTTTTTTATTGTCGCGAGTTTCGTGTTTCTCACACACAGCCTGGGTTACACCTTCTGCCATTTTTCCGCGGTTCAGCGAGATTCTACGAATGGCCGTGTCGTCATCGAGGATTATATTACGCATGTGTTGCGCGCGTACATTGCGAAATTATTCCTACGCTACGCGATGCTTTCGGTATTTCTTCAGATCTTTATAGAAATATTTATTCGGTAAAAAGATATTTTTTTTTAATTACCAAAGCTCGGAACTGAGTGTTATTTTTAAAAAAGTTGTTTTTTTCCTGAAAAGTGCAGCATCCACATGTAGCAATACGGGCGTCGACAATGTACGTGCTTTTACCTCTTATCACTTCCGCTCCGAAACCAGTTTCTAAACAAGCGTTTTACACCGGAATATTTATTCCGGCCCCCGAGTCGTACTCCCAGGACGGTTCGTTGCAATATCCAGGAAATCCTTTGCGCGCTCATCCATCGGATGGATCCCTCCCTGCTTCCGGTGAGCCGCTGACAAATGGATCGGCTATTTCCTCGAAGGGAGAGACCCACGATTAGCGAGCGTCGACAGAAAATTAAATGATGCCAATAACCATTAAAATAGCCAGCGAATCTCTCTCGATATCTATCTCTATTCCCACGGAAGAGGCGACGGCAATGCAGTTCGTCATGTTCGAGAACATCGATCGATTGTGACGGAAGTTAATCAGAAACGAAAGAAATTTAATCATTGCGGTAAAATAACCCTGATAAAATTGTATAATATAAGCGTTTTGACGGCAATATTTGGAGATTTATTTTTTTTTACGATCTAGAATACACAAGTATCTAACACGGAATATAGATTTTCTGTTAAATTTGATAGATTTCCTGAATGTGTAAAAAAAATGCTCAAGCACGCGACTACTTCTTTCCCACGTGGCGCATGAATTAATGCTTTCGATGAAATTTATCTGGCACAGCAACCCTTCCCATTCCCGTCCACGTCCGACCGCACCCCGCTGAAAACCCATTGCGGCCGGTGCCCACGATTCGCACAGTAGCGGCCATTCCCCTCTCCTTTCCCCCCCCCCCTTCTCGATCTGTTTTTATTTAATGCATAAAAGCAGGAAATTTCTTGCTCCTTTCCGGCCGAGCGAGCGCGGTCGTGCTCTCGGCCGATAAATCACCGAAAAAACGGCGATTTCCGCGAAAGGGGGAAAATACGTCGCCAACGGTGCCATCGGCAACAGCAACAGCGTTGCTAGTGACGAGAACATATTATGGGCCGACGAGAGGTGTGCTATGTGTTTGACCAGTCGTCCCGCAGGATCGTTTGTCCGCGTACGGTGTGGAAAAGCGCGCCCGCGCGCGCGCGCGCATCTATATACGCATATACGTCCGCGCCGCAAGCACATGTTCGCCCTTGGCTGTGTGCTTCGTGGGTGGTAGAAGGGGATACGGGGTGGTTGGAAGGCCTTTATAGATTTGTAGACGAGACCACGGTCATTCGACACTGCGTTTGACCACACCCTCGATTGTGCCAAGATTTATGGGCGCCCCGCTTCTCCCGCCCCCGCTTACGCGAACTCTCCTTCGCCCCCCTCGCCGACCGGTCGCCTTGTTACCAATTCCGATCGGCAGTTTGGCTTGTAACTACCGTATCGCTCGTTACTGCAATGTTGCTGCAACGCTCGATCCCGTTGAACGACAGGATTAGCGACTTAGACACGAACAGCGCGCGTATGCAATTTATGATAGAGACGTTCGAGTCAGAGATTGGTCATTATGACACGTGCCATAAAATATTTATGTGTTTAGATAATAATCATCGCAGCGCGATGAATAAAATTATTTTGTAGAACGTTTCGTTCCGATCTCAGCACATAGAATTGCTATCTGCATCTATATTATAGTTGAAATTATATAGCCACGTTTATTTCCTGACACTGCCGTTTAATAATGCGATATAATGCAATTCCAATTCTAAGATAGATGCGAATATATATTTGATATCGATAAACATACATGGATAAACGAAGAAAGATTAGTGTAAAAATGGCGCATTGCAAAAGTAAATACAAGTACTGTAAAATAAAATTATGAATCGTATTTTCCGATTATATAAATTAATTGGAATATGCTGTGTGGAATATTTTATACATCTTTGATTTTTGTTTGTGACATGCATTTTTGGAAAAATTTTCCGAGTATTATTTTTCTGCACCAGTTTATAAAATATTTAATCTTGGAAGAAGATAGTGAAAATCAAGTACTTGCCATATTTGAGAAATATTTGAAAAGAATGAAAAAAAAATAAAAGAATGTACTAAATCTTTTTTACATTTTCTAATCCAATTAAAAAGTAATTATATCTTATTCTGATCTTTGATATTCATAAAAATTATGTAGCAATTTAAATACAAATTTTTTATTTTCTAAACATAGCATTTTATTTAGAATAGTTACTTTATTTAATTTTGTTTATTTTTTACTAGCTACTCAAACAATAAGTTTAAATATTTAATGAATTAAAAAATAAAAACTAAATCATTTAATATATTTTATTCCAAATTGTATGAAAAAAATAATTAATATTTCATCTTCACAGTGCTTTTAACTGTATCTTATCATAAAAATTTTATGTAGCACACAAGAAATCTTTTCTGTTTTCTTTATGCTTGCGAATTTATTGCAAGCATAAAGCATAAATTTTAGGCCATTTGGTATTTTATACAAAAAGAATGCTCTGTCGTGTAATAAAATACACAAAATACACATAACGTTTTGATGCATAATGAGCTTAATTTATCAGCTCGCGTGCATGCATCTTCATGTGAATGTATAAAGTGAACAGCAACATATATTCTAGGGTTAAATATCGAATCTAATCTGTCTTGGTCTATCCATTTTAAGGCAATGAGTCTTTGAAATGTATCTATTTATTATTCTTATATGTTCTCAATCTAAATTCCTTAATTTTTAACAAGAGAGTATATATATGTGTTTGCGCAGTACGTAATTTACACAGACTCATTGCCTCAAAGTTGAAATAAATACAAGTTGTTTCTAGACTCACCGGTACTCGATGCGCAACAGCGGAGTTGGAGTTTACGTTGATCTGTAACACACACAAATAAATTATATAGCAGATTGTAATATAGCGTTTAAAATAATTATTAATATTTAATAAATTTTATAACTGTCGAAAGAAAAATGTACTTATATAATCCAAAGAAAGAGATCTAATCGAAGAGAAATCTACTTTTCATATTTGAAGTGATTTTATATCGACTTTATTACACGGTAATGTACAATATTATATTATTGTACTATCGTGGTAATAAATTAATATTTTTCATGTAAATAAAAAATAATAAATTACCTTATAGTTGCTCCGCCGACATCCTCCGGGCCTCCTCCTCCTCTCAGTGATTCTCTCAGGTTGTTCCTTCGTGACACAACACTTATTTGCGAATATAGGGTTAATTACGAATGCGCGATAGCACTTAGCACGGCATTTTCGCCGCATATTTTACCACGACGATACTTTGCACAGGATATCCGACGCGTATTTTATCGTATAACGACGATTACACGACACTGCGCGGAGATTCGATCGTTCGTTATGGAATGTGTCGCGCAAATAATAACAAGGTCACTCGAAGAACACTCAACATCGTACATCGTACATCGAAAACAAGATTATAACTAGATGTTAGATATTTCACTAACTATCGATTATTTCGACCGAAATAATAATAATCGATTTTCGCGATATCTAGCAGTTTTCGTTAGTAAGTTCGTTAGTAGTTTCTATTTAGTAACGATATGTAACATTTTTTATTGTTGTCTGGTCGCCTTATTATCATTCGCGCACACAAAGGATCAGAAGTTCATATTGTGTAAAGTATCGCGCGATTATTGATGAAATACGCCTTAGATATTTCACAAAGTGTTGTGCGACAAAATTTGCGCGTTGCAAATTTACTGTTTCTTCGTGAGTGAATGTTATGAAGCAATCATCGGTGGATAACTGAAAGTAAAAGAGAGTCTGTGAGACGTCAGGTGATGGCAGGACAACTGTGGGTAAGTAATTTATTATTTATCTATTATTTTATTTTATTCGCGTAAGAGATATTAATCATTTATTACGATAGTCAAATGGTATTTTATGTTATTGTATTATTAAAGAATTTTTCAAAATGCATATTGTGACAAGCATACTTTAAATAATATATTAAAACGCGAATAGGACACTTTTTAATTAAGCAAATAATTTAAATACTTGAAAGTTAGTAATAAGAGCCGGAGCTAGGCCTTGGTGCTCATGTTTAATGTTTACAATAATATACATATACCATGTGACAAACGTTTCGGCCTTTTGTTTAGACCATCTTCAGTGTAATCTATAATATTTGATATTCGTATAGGCACATTGATTTTGCAATAAACGCAAAATATAATCATGCTAATGTAGTTGGTTCAAACGGACATATATTCTAACTTCTCTACAGCACTACTGTACATATCAGAAAAACAATAGTTATTTCCTCAATCACTGAATTTTATATCTCGATACATAATTATATTTTGCGTCTAATTCAACGTTTGATGTAGAATCAATATGCCTATACAAACATCAAATATTATAAATTACACTGAAGATGGCCTAAACAAAAGGCCGAAACATTTTTGTAACATAGTACATGTATATTATTGTAAACATTAAACAAGAGCACCAAGATCTAGCTCCGGCTCTTATTGCTAACTTTCAAGTATTTAAATTATTTGCATAATTTAAAGTTTAGTAAAAATATTAGAATAACTAATATTTCATATTTTAACTAATTTATAGAAAAGTACGTTCGTTGTTAATGATTGTTAATTATAATTTTTTTGATAATACAATATTGTCCTAAATATTCTAACTTATATATTTATTGATAGCAAAACATTTCTATCAATTTCAAAATTGAAACTATGTTATATCGTATTATATTTCAATTCCATCACGGTATTTATGATGCACAATGTATGAATGTATTAAACAACAGTGGCGACAATGAATGTGGCTATGTAATTTTAATTCTAAAATAGATTCAGGCAGCGATATTGAATAGGAATCCGTGAGTGTCTTGCAAATACGCCAAGATGTCTATTTTCAAGTTTCTCTCTGATATACATGGCTTGATTATAATTTTATCATATTAAAAATATATATAATTATAAAATTTATTCTAAAAATTTATTCATAAAAGATTACAATTATTGTTCAAATATATATGTTAATATAATATACATACATATTTTTATCATATATAGAAATTTCTCCAATATTTGTTTGCGTTTAATGTTTTCTTTCAAAATAGAGTTTGAGACTATCATTGTTTATAATGTAACGACGAAGTAGATCGAACTTCGCCGCTTGTTGCACAATGTGCAAAAGAATTTCTAGACTGCCTTGCGAGATGCGAAGCAAAAGATAGGAAATGTCACATATGTCAAGCGTGGAATCGAGAAGCCAATATAAAGGTACTTCCACTATTACGAAATACATTGACACCACAGGTATCGGGTAACAATAAAAAGTAGCGCGACAGTTCGACCAATGTTTCGTTGCTCAAACCGCTGATGCATGTCGCCGAAACCCACTGTTATGCACCTTGTGCACTCTCGGCGACGCGACGCGACGCTCGCTCCTCCCTTCCGATCCATCCGCTGCGGTTCGATCGCGGACCGTGCACGCATAACATGTGCCGTCGCGTAGCGTGAATAATAAGACGGCTATGCGCGAGTTATTACGCCTTTCCGGTGTTTATAGGTGTCCATTACAGACGACAAAGGTGAACGAGTTTACGTTCTTTTGTTGTCATATATACGTACTCCGCCACTTCCCACACGGCGAATCGCTGGAACTTAGCGTTTCCGTTGGAACTAATTTTCTCCGTGGTCGGACATCTGCGAGGATCGTTGATGCGAAGTATACACGCGTTTTTTTCTTTTAATTTTTTTTTTTTCGGAGACCCTCGCCTCGGAGATCTCGGAGGGGGAAGCGACCGGTAACTTCAATCTTTGCACTGCTCGTTTCGCACGCCAATGTTACGGTCTCCGCGTTGCACGGCGACCTTTAATCTGTAGGCCCTCGTACCATAAAGTGTATATTACGTCCAAGGGCGTAGACGACTTGTGACATTTTCCCCCCGCTATTCATTACGGTCTACCATACGTAACGTCATTTGGCCCCCCCTCGCTCGGCCGGCGCGTGGAAGTCGATTACGGTAATTAAGCTTATCTATTTTATTGGATGAGTAATCAGCTACTGCAATATCGAGTCTGATGCGCATATGTCAGTCCACGTATGTAACTTTCTCTGAAAAATTTTTAATTGGACTTTCGTACGCGTCCGCTTACTACAAACTTTTTCTTGAATTTCAATGTACTACAAAGAGGTCATGATGATTATCCTTCTACGAGCGTAATTTTTCAGGGATCCGGGTAGAAGCACATGGACAATATTGTTGCGAGCAAAAAGAACAAAATTGCATTCCGCGTGCGCTTCATTAAGTACCCAAATTGTTGTAGCGGCATGACGCATCAACTTTTTCTCGTCATTGCAGCATCGTCTCGCGTTCGAGTTTTTTTTTGCGCTCGCTATTCCCTCGTTTTAACTTCGCCCGGACGTCGGTCCTTACCGACCCTTGACCTCCCGTTCGATCCGGCAATTAATCAGGAATTGGATAGGATACCCGCTTGCGCACCCCCGTAGTCTCTCCCTGTTTGAGCGTAACAATCGGTACTCAAAGTAAGGCACATGAAGGGACTGTAGAAAATAGAAGATGGACCGGGAGAGTAGAATCACTTTAATTTTCTCACAAAAACAGAGAAAGTTAGAATTCTCTTCAGCAAGATTATGTCCCCTGTATGAAGTTAATATGTTTCTTATTAAGACGATAAAGACGAGCAATACTTTTTAAGACTTTGATGTTATAGATACGTTAGATTAGCACTTCTGTCAAAGTACAAACCAAATTCGGAATTCAAAGTTTCAAATTCATAGTGATATTCCCTCGGTCTTTCATCATATTCACTTAAATTTAAAGGCGAGAGTAGTCGAGAAGAGAATACTTTTCGAACGACGCGGGACAACCCTAACTTAGCCAAGCTATGGTAACACGCGGCATTCTAAACGGGACACGTTGAAGGGACGAAGCCGCGGAAGAGAAGGGAGAGTGAGAGAGAGACGAAGAGAGAAAGGGACACAGAAATCATCCCAATTCTCTCTCATGGAAGCAGGGGGTGCCGAAGTTCATTCGAGTGAGAGCGCGGTGATCACACAGGACATTGAGCAGCGCGACGCCGACTGCGCCAAATTATAACTTATTTTATGACTTTTTTGCATCGGCCATTTAACCTGCCGAAGGAAGGACGGGGGAGAGGAGCCGGCGATCCCCGGCGAGAAATTCGGAAATGAAATCGCACCCTAATAACTTCCACTCCTCGGATTCTCTTTCTGTATGCGGGTCGTCTTCGAGAGATGGGTCAGTTTGTATTTATGTTGGAAAATCTTCGTGTCGTACATTTCGATAGACTCAAATTATTACCATATCCAATTAAAAAAATTTTACATATATAAAAGTTTTGAAGTTTAATTAGAAAGTAGGAAAAATATGAATAATTGCTAATTAACCTGTGCTTGATTAAATATTGTTATGAATGTTATATTGTGTTCTTATAATAAATAATTTAAATGGAAAGTGAATCATAATGATGTATACATATAGATAATGGTAATGTAATAAAATGGCAAACAAGAAAGTCCGAAAATTTCAGACGTATTTTACGATTGTTGACTTGCGTTAGGCACCAACGAGTGGCTAATGATAGCGTCGTGAATTTTAGTAAGCGAAAAGTAGTAGAAAAAAAGAGAGAAAGTGTAAAAAATTAACAGCGCCCGGCACGTGACGGGCCTGCGACGATCGCGTGTTGATATGACACACGAAGCGAGCGAGAAAGTGTGCCTTTTCGTCGCGCTTTTATTTTTCGTTAGTGTTGGCGCACGCATACATTCTGTACGTTCGCGACAGTGCAAACGTATATCAGAGAGGCGGATAGCATAACGACCGGAGTGAGATACTACCGACGTTCGACAAAAAGGTCGCGTTTGCTCGACTTCACCTAAGAGCTAACAGGGCATCGTCCTGTTTTCTTTTTTTTTTTGTTACATATTCCTTAGCACTGTTAAAAAATATTCAGTTGTTTATGAAATTTTGAAGCAAAAAATATACGCCGTTCGTCCGACAGCTTGTAATCGCATCCCGCGATGTTTTATTCCTTCGCATTAGAGGTCTCAGCGTACACGGACGCGTGTTTTGACATCCTCGCCTCGCGCTGCGAAGCGATACCGTGTGCACGCGCGGAGTTCATATTTCTCCCTGATATCTGAAATTCGAGTGTCGCGAAACAAGGCACCATGCTGCGCCGCGCGCCGCGTTTTATGGCCTCTTCGTCGTAGAAACTAAACTTATTACGCCGCGGGGGTCGCCCGCGCGTATCACCGCGTCCGCATCATTCGCCCCCTGCGCGAGGGCGGCTTTTTTTATTAAATCACACATCTCGCGTGTTCGTCGTCGCCCGATTAATTTGCCGTGACGCTTTCTTT